ATATATATATATATCTATATATATATAAATCAACATTATAATACATTTAATAAATACAATAATTTTACTAAATAGATCTATTATAATTATATATCTAATATTTTATTAAAATAATAAATATTAAATAAATATTCATTAAAAATCATAAATAAAATACAAAGTATAAAAGAATTACCTGTGAGGGATAGTTCTGCCAATTTAAGAGACAGGTCAGGCGGGACTCCAACAGGAGACCCCAGGATGTCAGGCAGTGCGTTGCGACGGCCAGAGCGGCCCGATGAGGCAAAATCCAACACCGGCTCCACCTCTGTCATCTCTAAAGAAAAGGCAGAGCTGACATGAGGCTTGCAATCAGTACAATGGTGAAAACTGATCATTGTTCAAATACAGCACATGCATTGTCTTCTCTGACCACTAGATGGAGGTGGCACCCCAGAAATTGTTTCTTGCCCGCAGGAGGAACAACATAATTATATAAGCAAACATTTTTATGCTTGACCCATCTCGATGGTTCCACTGTGGCCCGAGGCTTGTCTTTCACTAGAACAAACAGTCCACTCTAGAACGCAAATCCTTCCCAATTCACTCTCCATTCTCTCTCAGTCAGGAAGCAGTTGTCTTGGCAACCAGATGGATCACCTATATTGCATAGCAACAGGTAATCTCTTCTGACAAACAGTGCTGAGATGCACTTTTGCGCTGTTTTCTTTTGACACAGCTGTTGCGAGATACAAGTAAGCTGTTTTCCCATGCGAGGCCAGTCTCTGTATATGTACTCACATGCGTGTGTACGTGAACACTTGGGTGACTTGACTATATGCATGCATTCATATCCCTTTCTTAGCATGTGCTTGCCCAAACATATGTCTGTGCATAAATATAGCAAAATTCACATGGCAAGAGTGCATCTTCGGACCATCAGGACCAGCATCAATCTGCTGATTACATCAGGGACAATTCAACTGGTTTATAAGACTGGGGCCAGTTGCATAAACATAGCCACTATGTTAAGACTGTGTCTTAAGAACTAGTTTGACCAACTAACAGTTAGCCAAGGGGTAACCAGTCTTATTTTTCGGATTCAAGTTAGACCAAGCTACGTTTTTATGTAACCGACTTAAAAAAAAATTATGATTAGTCTTAAAGAAAAAAAATTAGATGACTAACTTTTAGTCTAAGCCTTTTATGCAACCAGCCACAGGTCTCACACTCAAAGCAACTTCCAAAAAACAGACTAATAAATCAGTGCTTATACAGTATAAATAAATCATTGACACCTAAGGCCATGGTGAACAGGAACTGAAAATTGAAAGTAGGTCTTTAATACTGAGATTTTCTTTGACACATTTTATCAAAGATAACATATCTTTATGACGGCAGACATAAAACGTCAGACTTTATTTGTTCTGATGGCATGGTTCAAGTGTTTATTGTAGTGTAAAGGCAGCATTATTTTTTTTATTTTTTTTAATGCATTTAGCAGACTCTTTTATCCAAAGTGACTTACAGTGCATTCAGGCTATACATTTTTTTACCAGTATGTGTGTTCCCTGGGAATCGAACCCACAACCTTTTGCGCTGCTAACACAATGCTCTACCACATGTAAGTTTTTATTTACTGAACCTTTACCCTCTGAGCATCGCAATTATCATTTATACAGTTTCTCAAAAGGACTAATTACATGCACATCATCCCTTAAATATCACATATCGTGATATTTTTGAGGAAAATCATGCTGTTTTATTACTTTCCTAAGCACCTTTTTGCCTGGTGGATGCTAAAACATCCATACAACATTGATAAACCACATAATAAATGTGGGCATCATTTTACAGCCTACTAATGCTATTAAAAATGGTTACTCAAGACTCTCTCAGCTGAGGATCTCAAAAACTCTTCTCAAAAATTATCTCAAAAATGTTTCTCTTCTCAAAAAAATTATCTTCCCAAAAATTACTTTTTGCCTGGTGGATGCTAAAACATCCATACAACATTGATAAACCACATAATAAATGTGGGCATCATTTTACAGCCTACTAATGCTATTAAAAATGGTTACTCAAGACTCTCTCAGCTGAGGATCTCAAAAACTTTTCTCTTCTCAAAAAAATTATCTTCCCAAAAATTTAAATGTGATGAAAATTTACTCAACCTCAGGCCATCCATCAAACAGTGTTTAAACAGCTCATAAAAGCAGCACAATAATTCACAAGTAATCCACACGACTCCAGTCCATTAATTAACATTCATCAGGCACTGTTTAAGAGAGTCAGTAAATTTTGGTTTAGGCCAGAAGTTAAATGACCTTAATGATGGATTTCACTTCACGAGACATTAATTGATGGACTGGAGTCATGTGGATTGTTTGTGGATTATTGTGATGTTTTTAATCAGCTGTTTGGACTCTCATTCTAGCGGCACCCATTCACTGCAGATGATCCACTGGTGAGCAAGTGATGTAATGCACAGTTTCTCCAAATCTGTTCAAATGAAAAAACAAACTCATATACATCTTGGATGGCCTCAGCAAATTTTCATTTTTGGGTGAATATTCCTTTAAACACTATTCACTGGTAAAAGCACAGCTAGGCTAAAGACAGCTTAAGACAGCATCAGTCCCTCTCTCATTCTGTTTGTCTATCTCCTGGTAGGCTGCCTGACTAGCTGTGGCTCTTATAGTTTTATAATCCACATTGTAAGAAGCTGGAGGATTATGGATGAGAGACAGCGCTGGAGTGGATCCACTGCAATCTCAGCTACACTCCTTATTTATAGTTAACTCCTTATTTTTAGTTAAACTTCTCATTTGTCCAGACTTGCTTAATCACAGATCTTCAACTAAACTAGATGTCATTGCCTCAAAGTTTAAGGTACAAAGAACAGTGTCTCTTAATTTCATCCAAAACCTCACCCAAGAATAAGTACGGTAGATAAGTACTAGTAGATAAGTAGATGGGAAAACGTGTAATCTTCTGCTTTCAGTAAGTGTGCCTGTATCACGCAACTGCAGGAAAGAAAGAATAAACAATGTTCACAGTCGCTGATTAACATTTTATGTACAAGTTGGAGAAATGCAAGAAAAGACAACAGAAAAGATGATGTTATATGAAACAAACAATTAAAATATTTTTATGTGTTTGAAAAAGATCTCCTATAATCACCAAAGCTGCTTTTATTGGATATTGTGAAATATTATTACACTTTACTTTTCTATTTTAATGTATTTTAAAATGTAATTTATTCGTGATGGCAAAGCTGAATTTTCTGCAGTCATTACTCCAGTCTTCAGTGTCATATAATATAATAACATTATTATAAATGTTATAAAACTTAATATTGTTAGTTACATTTATATTTCTTAATGTTGTTGTGGAAACCATGATACAATTTTTTTTAGGATTCTCTGATGAATAGAAAGTTCAAAAGAACAGCATTTATTTGAAATAGAAATCTTTTTGGTAATTTTGACCAATTTAATGTTGAAATTAAAGTTTTAATTTCTTACCACAAACTTCTGAATGTTAACTGTACTAAGTTAACCAAGTTATAAAACTGAAAATTATAGTGTATATCTTTAATCTTTAAAAGAAACACAATATTAAATGTTTTATTATTATTATTATTATTATTATTATATTGTACTGGAAAATGTGTTGCCAACAATAGCTTTTTTTAATATAAGATTCATTATAGAAATATTAAGTCCTGTGATGGATATTTTACTAATTTAACCTGTTTGTCCCTGACAACTTGGTTTTTGCATGAAGATGAATCTGTAAATAACTCTTGTAAGAAAATAATGGGTTCGTTTGAGCAGCTTGTGCAAAATTACACCATCTGTACCTGTTTGCTTTCTCACACAAATAGCCAAATAAAAGTCAAATGCAATCTGTGTTTGGGTACCAGAATCTAACCTGCTGTATGTTAAACATGGCGTAGATTGAATGCTCTTTTTTTGAGTGATGTTTTTGTTTTTCTATTAGACTCACATGATCAGTCACGCAACAGCTGGAAGCCCAAAGCAATGACCTTCACTCTGAAAACCTAATTCTGTTAGAGGAGACACGGTGCACCCAGATTACTGATATTACATTCTGTTGAAAGATCTCATTTTGTGATTGTTCTATATCCACAGAAAAGCAAAATATCATGCCAGATGTCCATCACGGTAAGTGTCCGTTCAACAAGAGTGTAAAGAAAGAGTGTTGCATAAGACGCAGAGGAAGTGACAGACTTTATATGACAGGCTATGTAAACAAATAGAGGTGGACTGCAGGGGTCACTTCACTTCTCCAAGCATTCAGACTGAACAACTTTGGCCACACTTTGGGCATGACCTCATACTGTCTCATACTGGACACTGCATTAGGGGAATCTTAGGACAACAACATGGGACGAGACTAAAGTCATCTTAAGAACTGTCGTCTGATCACTCTCAAGATGACGGATTCTTCTTTCGCTTCATTTCCCTGTGTCTAGATGAAAATAATGTAGAACATTTTAACTGAGTGTTTTGTTTTCTTTAAAATTCAGGCCTTCATTTTTGAAAAACTGAGCTTAACCCTGACAGAGTGAAGACCTGACTCCGAGCTAAACTGGAGCAGATGATGTCATCTTAATCCTATTAATCATGTTTTACCGTAAAAAAAAATATAGTGACAATGAGTGTGTCTGAAAGCTAAGGCAGCTGCCTCACTGCCCATGTACTTCTCAGGCAGTGTTTGTGTATGAAAGGTACTTCCTTCACTGGTTTCACACAGACTTCCAAGGCACCATAACATCATGTCTAATGATCTGGAACAAATTCATATAAGCTTTAGAAATAATTAGGCAAATTACATGCTAGAAATAGAATTATATGTTGAACAAAAATTAAACAATGGACATTTATGTATTAGTTTACTTCTTCAGCTGCTCCAATAAGATGCCACTTTTTTTACACACAGGATTGTGGAATAGTGTCAACAATGAAGAGTGCAAAGAGAGAAAAATATGATGAGATAAAAGCATCTTCGTAAAAAGTATGTTACACAAATATTACCTGCGAAGGCAGCATTTTTCAGCACTGACTGTATATTTAACAGTTTCTAACTGTATTTCATGTAAATTTAATACACAAACCTATTGAATCTGCAATCCATTTCTAATTATAAAAATGTGTGATGGCAAGTGGGACACAAGTTCAAAATGGGCCTCTCCGGTAACTGTATCCAACAATAAAAAAACAGAGCACAGTGTTAACCAGAAACACAAAACACTAGGTAACACGGAATAATAAAATATTAAGCTGGTAAATTTGGTAAATTAGATGTGTTTTTTTTTTTAGAATTCCTACTGTAATATATATATATATATATA